GCAAAATTTAAAATAAAAATACTTTTATAATCGCGACTTCTAAAAAAAATGTATCTTCCATCAATCCTTAGCAACTCCAACATTAGGAAATGATTTAATGGTATCGTCTATGGGATTAATTCCGGCCTTCTGTGTGTTAGTCTTAGAAGTCCGACTAGTACATAAATATCTTTTCTTTTTGTAAAATGCAATCTTTTGTTACTGTTTCTTCAACAGTGAAAACAATAGTAACACATTTTTTTTAAAAAAAAAACGTTAATGAGGCTGAGGTGTCCCTGTACATCGTACAGGAGCATACTCTAGTTAAGTGAGAACTCTTAGATAGGCACATGTTCGACACAATGTTCCAGAACAATCCACGAAAAAGGAAGAAAGTACGTTCAACAAACGTAAAACCATAACCATGACCCAGGGCTAGCAACCCACCACTGATCATACGTTGTTGTTGTTGCTGTTTTTTTATTTTTTTGCCAAGGAATACGCTGTCTAGTCCAGCAAGACACAGAACTTATTGTATCTGTAATGCTTTCTAAGAGGTCTTAATTAGGGGGACGTTGCATGATTCATGGGAGGGAACAATGGAACAGGACTGTGCATGGTTTTGACTTTGATTAGGGGTTTCTCAGTGGGGTACTAATTTAACTTCGAGCCGCGTCTGCCTTTTCTTTTTGGCAATATTCTTTTCTAGTTCTATTTAATGCCACAATATTTTAAACCTCAACTGCTTAGAAACAAGTGTTAACTATACTCATAAGGAGGTATTTTCTTACAAAAATGTTAATTAACTTGTATAAGAATTTATGTTTAGAAACAAAAGAAAAGTAAAAAAAAAATTAGGATTCCTGTCTTGAGAAAAAGGGTAGGAAGAATGAAAAATAAATTCTTTTGAAATAGAAAAGTCACAAGTTGGTTTCACAAAATATGATAATCCTTTTAAGTTTTAAGAGACCTAATTGTCAATAAAGTTTTACTTTTAATTTAAAAAATTGCAGCAAAGATTTTTTGTTTTCAATTTTAGTTTGGTAAATAATTGAAGTGGTTTAAATATTCATAATCTTCTCTCCATGTTTCTTCAATAAGCAAAATGCAACAAAATTTTTATTTTAGTTCTAAAATTTACAATTTTAATTTAATAAATGACTAAAGTGATTTTGATATTCACAACTTTCTCTCACTATGTTTCCTCAATCAACATAGTGCAACAAGTTTTTTTTTTTACTCACAACGTTAGTCCTAAAATTTACAAGTTTAGTTCAAGAAATGATTAAAGTGATTTAGGGATTCACCACTTTATCTCACTATTTTTTTCACTTTTTTAAATTAAGGGGTATTTTTATCATTTCATTAAAAACTTTAATAATAATTAAATTCCTTAAAACTTAAAAACTAAAAATATTATCATATTTTATGGAATCAAATTGCCATTTTTCTATCCTGTAAGAATTTATTTGTCATTTTCAAAAAAAAAAGTATATTTTTGGGATGAATATAAAGATTTGGCGGATTTCTAATAATGGCCTTTCGTGTAATGGGCGAAATAATCCATCCGAAAAAGGGGGTGAGGCCCATGAAGGATTATTAATCATATCCCAAACATCACTTTGGGGCCACCACTGTCCCGGTGGAAAATGACATTTCACGTCTTTCTAAGACCATTCATTATATTTGAAGACGAGTTTGGAAGGAGGACTTGGAATAAAATGCTCCTGTAACAAAATGAAGTGTTCGTCCTCAACCTTCATCGAAATCTTCATGGGTTAAAGTTTTCATAGCCAAATTAATTGTGGAGATGAAGAACTCCTGATGGTTAGGAAAAAGTCAAACTCATCCTTGACTTGGAGAGGTATAAATTCTGTTTGAGACCTATTGAGAGATGGATTAGCAAGGAAGCTTGTCACAGGAAATCAGATATAACGGGTACCACTTTTTCTCTTCCCTTGTTCACTTTGTGTTTATTTTTGTTGCGTCTTGCAATCGTTTTGACTTTTGATACCTGATTATTTTGATTCTGTTAGCATTCCCTAAAAAAAGAAAGAACAAAAAATCTCATTAATTACTATGTATATGTAACTATGAACTCACGCCCATCTATTCTTGTTTCATATTGGAAGCTCCACTAACGCCTGGATCAGCATCGACAAGTCGGCAACAATGAAATTGAGTTACATCGTGTAATGGAATCATGCATCGGACCGCAAAAACAAATAAAATCATCTGGAAAAGATTGATTTGATCATCGATGTTTTTTTCAGCGCATTGAGTGTTGCAAAATAGAGATCTCAGGTATCTTTTCACGTACGCTTCCTTGTGATGGCTACAGGCTACTATAAATAATTTACACACGGCTGAATATTGGTTATAGATAACAAGCGAAGACAAACCAGAGAGCGTGGGGATGACGATTTTACTCTTACATGTATTACTCGCAACACATGATATATATATATATATATATATAAGCAGCAAACGAGCGTGGGGACATGATATATATATATATATATATATATAAAAGCAGCAAACGAGCGTGGGGATAAAGTCAATTAATACTTGTGACATGCTTAATTGCGATTAGAAATGAGTCGTATATTGAATATTGATGAAGATAGATAATGTGTACGTGACGGACCTTCTAGATATAACGAGGATGTCTGAAACAGTTAATGTGATGCATATTTACTGCTGAACTTTTTTGTAAGTCGATTCTAATTATTTCATCAAAATGAAGAATCGGCAGTTAAATTATTAATATTCTCTGAAAAAAAAAATTTCTCAACTTAGCCTCATTAAATCCACTGTTTTTAAAAACACTTTCTCCCTCATGTAATCCTTTGCTTTCTATTCATCAAAAATTGTTGAAGGTAAGATTGAAAGAAAGTCATTAATGATCAGTTTTTTAATATATAAAAAGTGACTTATAAAAAAGGTTATGAATTCTTTCTAAAAGATAACTTATATATAGAACCGAGGAAGTATACCTTTTGTTCATCCATTTGACCAGACTCAAATCAATTACATGCATCGAGCGACGGGATGCCAATTTAATTGTCGAAAGAATTGAGCATCACAAAGCTCAAAGTAAAGGCCAAAAAACAAAGCTCCAAGGAAATATAATAACAACGTAACTTCTCAACATCAAACGATTTTCTGGCCATATAAAAATCTCTAAGACTTTCAAAGGAAGAAGTTTGGATCTATTAACAAATCCATAAAGCACTCTTTCAAAATCTAACACCCCCCCCCCCAAAAAAAAAAAAACTTTCAGAGCCCTTTTTTGCTAGCAAGCTATGACTGACTTATTTGAGGTTATTTTCTAGATCCAAAATTCTTCATTCATTTTCGTGAATTTTAATGTCATCTATTTTCATTTTCATTATTTAAGATCCAATTAGTGTATTGTGGGTGTGTGAATTGTGTTCAAGTTGATGGCAGTTTCTTGTGATATATTTTGGAAATTTTAATCTCAAATTTTCACTATTTTTTTAGCAGCATTATTGCTGTAACAATTAATCATTTGTAATTAGGAACTCTAATTCATTATATACATAACAACTGAAAGAATTTTTTCTTAAACAAGTATGGCAAAAGCCTTCGCCAGACCATTAATAAAAGGACTCTATCTTAGAACAAAATACAGATTTGAAAACTTCTTTCTTGGGATTAGAAAATGGGGTAATAAGAGACCCACCTTTGGCCTTATATTTCATAGATGTGCTGAGCTCAAGGTATATGCATCTTCTGATCTGCATTTTCGGAATTGACATTTACCTGATTTCCTATGTATACCTGAAAGTTCGTTCCTCTATATGCACTCCAAAGCCTAACATCTCCATTTTTGCTTACACATCTCACATGGAAAATATATACCCATACAACCATGGTCCTCCCTATCTAGCTATTTGCACAGCAGGTGACTGTCAAATATTGGCTTTCAAGTCTTTTATCTCAAACTGATCCTTATTTTTCATTATGTGTACCCTTGATTAGGTTGCTTCGAATGCATTTAGGGTTTTGACCAAGGTACATGTAAGAGAGAGCGTATAATTAAACTATAGCCAGGCTGTTTAGCATAATCATTTTGTTCCTAAATTTGATTAATTTTCCTAACCAATAATTGCATTGACTAATCAATGAGTAGAATAATTAACACTCACCACTAAACCATATTATGCAATATGATCTTTCCATATATCCTTTTTAGTTAGAGTAGCAAATAACATGTTCTTTATTTCAACAACCAACATGATTAGACATGTGGACCGTTCATGTGTTCAAAGTGATCTCAAACCAACACCACCAGTTAGTGCCTTAGAGATTTAGCGATTACAGCACAAATGGAGCTCACTGAACCCAGTTAGTGTCTTTCGGCAGAGAAAAAGGTGAGAGCTTTGTCATCAACATCACCAGAATCTTAAAGCCTAGTCAGGTAGGTATATGTTGCTATATATATGGTGATGGCCAATAATCGAAGCGGCTAAAATTGTGACTTTTACACCTTTTGTCTACACGACACAAGGTTTCACACACTTGGCAAACTAGCTAGCATGCGTGATGTAGTAAAAGTTATTGAATTGTTAGAGACACACACTCATGTCATATCGTGAGGTGAAATCAAACCCTGGTGAGTCGGCATTTACGAAAATAGAAAAATCAAAACGTTGGACAGAGGGCCGCAACTCAAGGTTGTTATGATGTGGAAGTATTTGTGGTTTTGGTTGTGGCCTCAAAGATTCCGCGGGAATCTAATCAAACTCAGAACTCTATGAAAAGACACAAAATAAAAGGCTATAAACTTCTATTAATCGCATCGGTCATCTCTTCCTTCCCGAAACTGAGAATTGGTTTCTCAACAAGCCAATATTGTCAAACCCAGAACGCAACTTACACTTAAAGAAAGCAGAACAAGCGTATCAGCACGAGATGGCCTAGTGTATGAAGCAAGTTTCCCCAGGCCTAGCTAATTAAAAGAGAATAACGTCAGTGAGATTATGCAACAAAGCTCATCCACTCCAAACCTTATGCATATATGACCAGAATATCACTCTGTGTTATAATTTAAACCCCAAATTCAAACAATCAAAAGCAAACCGAACCAGGAAGCATATACTTGATGAAATACCATACTAATTTTTTATGTATATATAGAGAGAGTGCTCAAGCCCCGTTGGATGTAGGTGAAGAGCACTCACTCACTACTTCAGTCTCCATCTCTCTTTTGTGGAAGTTCCTGTGGCAGCCACAGGCAGCACAGGTCAGAGCAGAAGTTGTGCCTTCATCTCCACTGGCCATGAACTCGCGGCAGCCGTCCACGGCGTATCCTCCGACGTTAGCCGCATGATTCTTCTGGCACTCTCCATATCTCACACTCCTAACAGTAAAAGATGAAGAGCTTGAGCTCCGAGCAGGCTCTTCTCTTCTCACCACAACTTGACGTTTCCTCATCTGGCCACTTCCCTCTGTTCCAGCCCTGCCTGCAAATATTATGCTCAAGTTATCGATGAGTTCAAAATCAGAAACCGGCGATGAGAAAGAGAGAGAAGGGAAAGAGAGACTAGTGATGAAGAGAGAGGGGATACAGCTTACTTTCTAATGCATATGCCCATCAAGCCCTAACCCTAGAACATGTATTTATAATTAAATGCTAATTAATAACTTAATCATGATCGATTTCCTTCCTCAATATTAAATTAAAATCTTTAAAACTAAGTGGGAGCAACTGATCATACACACTTTTTACTGTGCGTACTATTTGATATTGTGATCAAATTTCTATTCACTTGAAAACCCTAGATAGGACATTATTTAAAACTAGAGCTCTAGCTAGTGATTCTAACGCACGGTAATTATGGCTTAACGCTGTTGTGATGGCAATACTGCAAGGCGATCCCACACCAGGAACTACCATGATATCTACAGAATTATTTGTGGCTCATATTGAGCCACGTAATTCACGATTTATAATGAATGAAAAAAAGAAAAACAAATTAAAATGATTCCTCCTTGTTAAAGGAAAATCCTTAATAGTGATGGGTTTGATTCGGAAAGACTTTTTTCTTTCGCCTAAAATAGTGATGGGTTTGGTTAGCTAAAAAATAAAGGTGGGTTTAATTTGGAAGGACCAGCTAAGCAGGATTTAACCCAAAAACGTACAGTGGCCCCTAACTTGATAGTAAAAGGCAGTTTTGTGGGGTGCACTGATACGATGCCAACAAGAATTGTCCATAGCTCTTGACCTAAAAACGTGAACATGATAGCCGAGCTTTGCCAAACCTGTACGACAAAATCACCGTGATTCTTTTATTTTCTTGTTTTCATGTCCATGTAACCATGTAGAATATATATTTACATATTAGAAAAAGGGTTTTGATCTGTTCTAGCCTCCCAGTAAATTACAATCATCATAATGTTTAATTATCTGCTTTTACTCCAACTATTATTTACCATGATGCTAGATTCATTCTGGTTTCCTAGGATTACAAGAATGGGAACCAAAACATGGGCTCATTTATATATGGTTCCTATTGACACGCATTGTAATGTATATATGCTAGTTGGTATAAGCAATTAATTTATTCTTCTATATATGTATAACATTCTGCCATGCCATTTTTCTTTCACCCTGCCGAAATATCGACCATCATAAATGTAGTCTTAGAAGTTTGTCTGGCCTTAATTAGTGTGTAAACAAAATTATTTAGGTGGAACTTCCGTTTTATTTTTTTAATACTTTATTATATAATCAATTTCAATGAATTCACTGTTAATTATGAACATCCTTGCAACTTGAAGGGAAATTTGGTATTCTAAGCATGATCACACGTCTAGCCAAAGGGGGTCTTGATGGGCTGCCACTCGATCGATTATATAATTCTTCTTGTTGGCGTAAATAGAGTATTCCACCGTACATTTATACGTCGATATGTATAGTTACAAGGCACGTATATTAGCTTATATTTTGAATTTTCTTTTTCTTGTTTTGACAGCGAGGTCGTGCATATTGATTTTTTCTCTGTACAATATGTTTCGCAGAAATGGGAAAGTTTTTCGAACAAATGCAGAGAAAATGTATTAAGATGAAATCATACATCCAAATTCAGATGCCGAAACATTAATTTGAGGAGGGTCGATATGTAGCCCCTGTTTTACGTGTTTTTACCGTACTTGTATGATATTTGGCGTACGTAGGCACTTGCCTTGGAACATATTATTAATTATAATTTGACTTTGCGAACAGCATGAAGTGATCCATGGAGGCTAAAGTGTACAAGAGTAAGACAAAAGTTCCTAACGTTTTAACTGCCTTTGGAGTTTGGTGAAGTGATGCTGGTACGTGATATAATAATGGAAGATTGAAGAAAAAGGGTCTCATTCCATTTTACCCTTGTCATCCATTTTTGCTCCGCGTGTGTGAACAGTGTTCTTCATCATCAGCCTCTCACTTGTGCGCCTAAATTGAACCAAAGTGAGCCCGACAACTCCATTACTCCATCTCTTTGATTTATTCGTTCTCACGAGGATTCTCAAAAGGCATACACTTCACCTTATTCTTCCTTAAACTTTTAGGCAGTACAAGTCAGTGATTACGCGTCTTGACTTCAATCTACTTTAATTAACAATGTTTAAGGAAAGGATTTGTGTCCTGTGAAGCTTTCCTCCATCATATCATCACTGTTATAGGTGATATAAAAATTATCAGACGAATTAATAGTTCACATTTGTGAAAATAATAGCTTTGCTTTTTAGAATGGAGGAGGGATTCAACTTCCTATAGTTTTCTCATGGACATCATATGTAACTCAAGGGGGTAAAAGAAGTTGTAAAATTTCCTGATGAACGATGGTTTCAGCAATTTTTACTTGACATTTTTAACTTTCAAGTAAGTGGATTATATTATTGTTTCATTGTGAGTACAGTTCACGTGCACCTTGGTGATCTTCTCAAGACTTCATCTGTAAGAATTTGATGGCAATCTGTCCAGACAACTTATGAATAGTTGTAAGATTAGCCAATTGGGTAAGTTTCCTTTTTATATATGCAAAATACATCATGATTATCTGTCTTTTCTTATCTGTACATAAGAAGGACGATAACATAATTAGCAATCAGTAATTACTGACCTGTTTATTCTGTACTCAAAATTTCGGAGTGTTGTGCCAATAATAAATGTCTTATATTGAATTGTTACCTTTTTGTTCTCACATCTCTAATACATGTTAAAGGACAAGGGCCCTAAACAATTGTGACAATGCTTCGATTTGGGACGTCAAATACAAGCATCTAGCTTGCTTAATTGGACTAAGACAATATCATATGTAACTTAGTTTGTGCTTGTCTTCATTTAGTGCATTAGCTAGCTATATATATAATAAATATCCTAATCCTAGATAAATTAATTACCAGCTACCAAGAAAAACTGTGGCTTAGAGCAAGTCCCTCTATCCTTTCTCCCAGGTGCGAAAACGCCCAGAGATAGATCGAGATGATTCAAAGTGATACGTTATTGAATCAATTTTGCCCATCGGATTGGTGTGTTCTTCTTAACATCTTTAATTAATAAAACTAATAGATAATCAGTTGTAATTCTGGCTAGGACCCAGGATATTGTTTGAGAGAGAAGGAGAGGGAGAGGAAGAGAATTAAAAGGCGGTTGATTAATATATGGATTTGAGAGTTGATGCGGATATTTAAGAATGATGATGTTTTGGAAGAATACAGAAAGATGAAGTCCCTTGCTTCTCAACCACCCAGCCATATTGTGATGGCCGAAACAGTGAAAGGTCTCATCATAATCATCGTCCTTCGCATAAAGCATCTTAGGCTTCTTAATTAATCACAAATTATCGCTTAATATTCAAAAGCCCAAATAATACACGCACCTCAAATAAACTCTCTGCAATACACTCAATGACTAAATAATTATCGCTGAAAATATAAGGTAAAATTCAATCACAATTCAAAATTAAATAGATTGTTGTAAATTTTGTCTGAACATAACCAAAAGCCCTGTTCACAAAATATAGATAAAAATAGTATGGAGGTGTGTGCAAAAAAGGAGGCTCTGATTGGGCTATAAATTGACGCAAACCCTAACAATAACGACACGTAAAAAAAAAAAAAAAGACAAAGATGTGCAATAATAATGCAGATATATATATATATATATATTTTTTTTTTCGGGGGATGGGGGAGGAGTTTGAAGAAGGGAAAGCTATGTTGATGAATTAGATCTGACACCAAAACTTGGTTGCTTAGACACTGTGAGCAGTTGTCAGCATCCTTCTTGTACAAAGGTCTTGCCCTGCGTGGTGCAAGATTCCCTTTTATTCTTGGACCACACCTTCCACGTGTCGCTGTTCTGGACTATGATAACTTTCCTAATGAAACAACGAAATTCCTCATCAAATTTTTCAACCACTTCCAAATGAATATAAAGACAAGCGGGTTGCCTTCAAGTTCTAAACTTTTGTTGGGAAGTATTCAATGCAAGTTAAATTTTAATTATACTTCCAACACTTCGGTCAGACTTTTGAAGAAGGCTAAAGTGTAGTTTTAATTCTCTAATTTTATATAAGGTTTTAATTTAATTTTTTAATTTTATAGAGTATCTTTTTAGTCCTTTAATTCTAATATTGTTAGTTTTAAATGATTATTTTTTATGTTAATTATTGTTATTTTAAAAAAATTAAATTTGATATGCTAATATTTGATAATATTTTGTTAATATTTAAAAACTTAATGTCAAAATTTGTTAGGATAAAACTAACAATGTTAAGATTAAGAAACTAAAAATATACTTTATAAAGTTAAGAGATTAAAATAAAATATTATATAAAGTTAAAGGACTAAATGTATATTTTAACTTTTGAAGAATTGGATTGGTTGTGTAAACTAATAATGTTAAGGTTAAAGAATTAAAAAGATATTTTATAAAATTAAGATATTAAAATAAAATGTTGTGTAAAGTTAAAGAACTAAATTTATATTTTAGCTTTTGAAAAATTGGATATGTTGATTTTAAGTTTTTATTCAAAAAAATTCAATATTATTTTTTTACCAACACCAATAAGACAATATGTGCATGTGCATTTTTTTTCTGGTAAAAAACTTTAAAAATATGTCTCCAATTATTTTTTTTTCAATAAAACACCAAAATATTTCATATTTTCTAGAATTCAATTATTTAAAAAAATTAAAATTTTCAGTGATGAGTATGTAAATAAATCGTACTCATGCTTGACTGGAATTATTTTCAGTGATAAATTGAAATGTCCTCTATGAATTAATTAGGGGCGATGCAGATATATCCATGGCATTAATTTTAGAAAAGAGTGACACTAAGAGTTATATAATAAGTTTTTTTTTTTTGTATATCTATTCTAGAAACATTTACAAGATTAACGCAATTAATTGAAATGTGTTAATATAACTTTTACAATGCATCTTCAAACTTGTTGGTCCAAAGATTAGCGTTGCATCATCAAATCCAGCGACAGTGGAATATTAATGTTGAGGACATACATACGTACTGATGCAATGAACACCTACACCTGCTGGTTTATTTTGAAACGTTGTTGTGATTGTGTGATTGAGGACAATCATAGGCCCGAGAGGATCATATATATAAATGAAAAAAAAATTAATCTTTTAGTCAACTTTTAACATGTTGATAATTCAGTTCTTCAATTATGATTTACTATAACTC